AGATAGCATAAATAGCAACAATGTTATTCAAATTGTTTATAAGCGAAAAACGCACGGTTTTTTAATGTACAATTTGTGAATGTTAATGTCAAAAAACCGGTGATATTTTTTAATAGGTCGCTTAATTACGTCTTTAAGATTACAATGACGCTTTCAGAATCATGTTTGATTGAAAATTAACGCCTGTACAGAGGCTTAAAGTTCATAACTTTTGGAGCCTCCGCTATAAACAAATAGAATTGTGCGAAAACTATTGCACCTACAGCGCCCACTTTTGGCACACTTTTAAAGTATGACAAAACCCTCAACTTGTCATAGGTTTTATAAAATTTTAACAATAAATGCGATAGTTATAAACAAATTAAAGAATGGGCACTTTTCTTGTTTTTTTTACAAAAACTTTTTTGTTTATTAACCGATTTTAATTTAACAAGTCTCATTTTGTAGATAATTTTACTCCCTATAAGTTGCCTGTGAATCACTTTTCGCTAAAATTGATGGTTTTCCCTGCAAAGTGAAAAAACTGTTTTCCTCAGTTATTTGTTTAAATAGAAAATTTAGCTAATAAAAGTTTTTGACTCACGAGATAAGAGATGTCTTGTATTATGTTCCTTTAGACAATTTTACAATAATCTCGCGGATAGGACTTTTTTCGAGTTTCTCTTTTATTTTCGCAAATTTTCCTGGTGCAATACCATATTATTAGCACTAGTACATGTTTTCACTATTTTGTAACGTTGAAATTTTTTTCTAAATTCTTATCAGATGAAGACAATGTTCTTCGTTACCGGAAATCTTCATAGGTTGTAACAGATGAAGAATAAAAAAAACCTTTAAAATTCCCCATAGAAAATAGTAGCACTTGTCTTCATTCGTTCGTAATTCCTCTACGAGAAAGCAAACCTCAGCAGTAGAAAGATTTATTTTACAAAAATTGATATCCTGACCTTCATCAGGATAATTTCTTATAAACCAGCAGGTCACCTGCTGAACTGAATCTTGAGGTAATAGTTCTCGAACTTTTTGAAGAGGGTATGCACAGAAATTTATAATATCTCAGTTTGTCGAGAATAACGTCTAATACTGATTTGTGGTTCATTTTCAATGCTCGCTAAACCATTTTCCTTACATTGTAGGTACATTAAAGCGTTTCCATCTCTCGAGCACGTCTATCAACTCTGGAACATGGAACAACTATTATTTCATTCATACTTCTTCTCCAGTTTTCTTCCAGAAATTTAATACTAATAGCACGTCCTTTCGTTAGTTTCGAATTTTATACACAATTGAAATAATATTTAAATATTTATCTTATTCAATCGATAGGATTCGTAGACTACTACTGAGTTTTCTAATTAATACTACCTTTCTTAATTATGAGGTTTATTCAAAAATTAACAAGAGTAAAAATATTTGTACATAGCAGGAAGGATTTTTTATCAACCAGCGGAGAAAATATATGAATATATTTGGGGTATATTTCTCCAAGCAACTCCTTACAACGCATAAATTAACATTAATTACGCTTAATTAATTACGGCTTGTAATAAACCTCTTTACTAAATTTGGTTGTTCTACGTTAAAGATTTGTAAAGATATTTTTCAAAATTGGAACACCTGTTTTAAGTGCTTTCCTCCTCAGTTGTGCAAATTGGTATATAGGTAAGTTGCCTTAAATCATTTTATTTTGCCTTGCATCGGTTTATTTGATCCGGTATATTTATAAATTTAACCTGTGTTATTATAAGGAACGGTACGAGTTTTTCAGCCGTGGAACTTTTCATGACTAAATGAACATATTTTGTGAAGCTGTTAATTATTTAATTTTATTGGGGTATTTTTGATAGTTGAAGAATTTCTGAAGAGAAATCAAGGACTAGGTGTCCTTGAAAAATGCCTTACTTATGTAACTCTCACTAATATTGTAATATTGTCATAAACAAGTTTTGTGATTTTTAATTCTTGTATAAGCTATTAATATTGCGTAATTAAAAGACGTGGGACAATGAACGACCGAGAAACAATGTTCTGTGTCAGTTAAGTCATCAACGAAGATTTATAGATTCAGTTTGGAATAAGTGAGAATATTTCACAGATGACCAAGGAATTGAAGGAATTATAACGGTATGCACTCATTTTGCAGTCGAAAGGAAAGAAATTAAAATGACTGCTCTAAAGAAGAAACATTTTTAAATATAAAGGAAGAAAAGAGGAAGTTACAAAAGAAGACTTAATGTGTATAAATATGGAAAACGAAATCAATGAACGACCGATCAACAATGTTCTGTGTCAGTTAAGTCATCAATGAAGATTTATAGATTCAATTTGGAATAAGTGAGAATATTTCACAGATGACTAAGGAATTGAAGGAATTATGAGGGTATGCACTCATTTTGCAGTCGAAAGGAAAGAAATTAAAATAAGGACTGCTCTAAAGAAGAAACATTTTTAAATATAAAGAAAGAAAAGAGGAAGGTGCAAAAGAAGACTTAATGTGTATAAATACGGAAAACGAAAGCAATGAACGACCGATTTCTGCCAGTGATGTCATGAAAAAAGAGTTATAGATTCAGTTTGGAATCAGTAAGAATATTGCACAGATGACGAAGTAATTGAAGGAATTATGACGGTATGTACTCATTTTGCAATCGAAAGGGAAGAAATTAAAATAAGAACTGCTCTAAAGAAGAAACGTTTTTAAATGTAAAAGAAGAAAAGAGGAAGATGGAAAAGAACACTTAATGTGTATAAATATGGAAAACGAAAGCCCTCATCGTGGTCGTTCAGTTTTAAAATCTGAGTAGCAACTGCGAAAAACCATGCACGCGCTGTCAAGTGGAAGTAAGTGTTGGATTTTAAAATTTATTTATTTTCAAGAGAATATAGGTAATACAGAAGTTTGCAGTATTTTACTTAAGTTCGTGTCAGTTGTGTTATAAATGTTTAAAATATGTAAGAAATATTCTATTTGCGCTCTACTAACTCTCAATTCAAATCAAAAGAATTTTAATTAGTTTATTTATATCTATATTTCCAAATGATGAATGATAAACAACATAATTGAAATAATAAGTCACTCAATCTGGAGAACCAGGAATGAATCTTTATTTCGAGTAAGGCAGTATTTTTTTGTAAATAACTCAAACCAAAAAATCTGTACTTGTATGTTTTACGAAATAGAAAGTACTTTTCAGTATGAATCCGTAAGAATAAAGATGTGAAAAAGCTGAGTAACAAAATAATGTAGTACAGGTTTTAATGCAGAAATTGGATCTTTATACGTTTAGAAATGTAGAACAACAGTTTTTTAAATTTTTGACACACGCTGTATTTAAAACCGCATTTTCTATTTACTTGGCCTTACTTTGATATAAAAAAATTAGAACTCTAAAACGGCTTGTTCCTCGAACAGAATGGACGAGATCTTGTTTCTTAAAAATTCTGTTGATAATAAAAAGCATTAACTGAATTCGTGGTACTGACCCCTCGTATCTCCGCCGCTGGTCGCCATATTTGTAAGTCAGCTCAGTGAGTTCTTACTTCTATTTGTATAAACAATGACTCACGTTTGCTTTAAATAATTTGTTCTATTGTATAGATAGGTTTCCGGTTTCAAATCTGGACCACCCTGTATATTCTTTAAATAACTTCAAAATAAAACGTTTTTAAAATATTTACACTTTTGTCTTCGTATATTTTACAATGTCCACTAGAAAAGCCTTTTCTTAGATGACAATGTTCTGTAGGAGGCGATTTTTCACAATAAAAGTTATACATTATACAGGGTGTTCTACAAGCTCCATGACAAACTTTGATAGATGGTAGCTGGGTTACTTTCAAACAATTTTTCTTATATGAACATAGGTTTGATTTGTTTTGGTTTAGAAGTTACAAGTTTTTTAAAAAATCATTTTTATTTATCAGGCTACTTTGATTGAAGTACTTTGATTGAAGTATTAACAATATTAACTTCTAAACAAAAACGAATCGGACCTGTGTTCAGATAAGAAAATATGTTTGAAATTAACCCAGCTACTGTCAAAGTTCGTCATAGAGCTTGTATAAACCAAATTCATAAAATTTGATGTAATGAGAATAGATCAGTGTTTTTATATTAAATTACAGTACTTACTATAAAAGCACTGAGCTAGGTATATACTTTCGTATTACATTTGTTATTTTTTATACCTACTCATAGTATTATATAAATTTTATGTAGACGAGGCAACAACTAAAAGTTATAACAATTTAAGACTAACTATTGCATATTTATGTGTTTTTGTAAGCATTTCACAAATGATGTGGAACTTTAACCTATGGTATGTTAGTTTAGACAAATATTTGATATATATTTTTATAGAGGGTACAATTTAAGTTATATAAAGATAATTAAAATACTTTCATAGTCGGTTTTGTACAATTTTAAATGTTTAGTAAAACTGATTTACTTTAATTTGTGTTTCTTGGGATTACCAGAAAAATAATTGCTTTCAAATTTTATTGATATTTTGCATCATTTAAAATGAGAATATAATAATTTGGTTTCCCAATTACTATAAACGTGGAAAGACGAAAGACATACTCAACCTATAGCGTCTATAGGAAATTTACAACATTTACAGATTTTTCTTATTTTAATTATGTACCAGGAAAATTGATACGCTGTCCATGATTATCTGAATCTAAGTCTTCCTAGCGCATAGAAAACTGTATTGTTAGGTTTTTACTAAACGCTACATAATATCTATAACAGCCAAGATATCCTTTACAATAAAAAAGTGGAAAGTTAAAATACCTACTTATATATTATTCCTTTCATGTGATTATTGCCATTATTATCTGAACACCTGTACTAAATTATTTAAGGAGATAGGTAGGTACGTTTGTGGCAGCACACATTTACTACCATGCCATGTCTATAGAAATATTTTTAATAAAAATAACATTTCCTATTTTCTGTTTCACTTTGGCTACATATAATAGAATCACCCTGTATTTACCTGTTCCCGAGGAGAGGAATCTGGCAGTTTCCTGCAAATTAACTGATAAGACATGGGTTTGAGCGTAATGGTTTAGTTTCTTCCCCGCATACTCCTGAACGGTTTCGTAATTTCTGCCGCGTTCACAGTCATTCCTATTATTATCACTACCATCCCTGATATAAGTCTGATTACCCGCCCTTTCAATTTCTATCCCGGGCACAATACGAAACTCCCCCACACTAAACACTCTATCAACATAATTTTTTAGTTCCCTATCTAAAACACTCTCGTCTCTGACTTCTTGTTCTGTGCCGCATGATTTTGCTATTGAGGCACAATATAGGATCGAAATCAGTTTAACTATCACTAGTTCACTCCCGCGATGTTTCCATTTTTTATCCATCTCTGGAGGGGCATTCCGCCTGTAACTGAAAAAGAGAAGGATTTATTAGCTATTATACACAGAAAGCCACATATCTTTTATAGCCCTTGTATTTCTTTATTATAGTAAACATGAAAATATAAAAAATACGATTTTGGAAGTATGTAATACATATAGAAAGAAATATGTTTATACAATAAAGGTGACTTGAATCTAGTCATATATGAAACACCATAAAAATCTTTGTAATAACTTATTGCAGTTGCACTCTGTATTCGTTTAACAATTCTGCACAATTTAGATCTCAGATCAGAAACGGTTAAATTTGATTAAGGTTGGCGTTTTATAGATAATAAATCGCACTTCCAGTAACACAATGACATAACAAGTAGATCAATCCAAGAAGTGACGAAGCATAATTCTAAACAAGACCAATTTCCTTTAATTTTTCATTGAAGATCAAGGAGAACATGTAAACATCAGAAAATATACTTTTCCTGCTCTTTCCTGTTTTTTGTAAAGATAATCAATAATTGTGATTAATGTGTATGTGTTAATAGTTTCCTAAAAGCATTCTGGGGGGTGTGATTATGTTTCTAGTGCCGTGCGCGATTTTCTGTATGTTCAACAGGCGTGTAAAATTCAGGAAACGTTAATCGAGGTAACCATATGCTTTTCCCCTTAATTTGAATGTATTGAAAGTTGTATCATAACCTGAAGAAAATTTAAATCACACAGTGATAGTTTCTAATTTTAGATTTTCTAAAACGCTGGACAAAAAATTGCGCTTATGAACGCTGCCCTAACAAGATCACTTATATTTCAAGGGAGAATTGTTTTATGTGTTCAGTGCAATATTCGCACTATTTCAGATGAACTAACTAAACTAGGTTCCTACGTTTAGAGGCTAAAAGATGTCAAGATTTCTCAAACAATGTCAATAAAACGCCTTGTCCGATTTAATAGTATATTATACTAGTGACTGAAATAAGCCATCGCAAGTAAGAGGTAGCAAATTCTGAAGTGCTAAAATGGCATTTCACTCTCACGTGAGGTGTCTAACAATTACAGTTTTTTTAACGTAGAACAAACTTGAAGAGATAATTTCAAAAGTCAAGCAGTAAAGTCTTGGTTGTTCATGTCGGTCGTCACGAATAGTTGTTAACAAATAACATTTTTTTTTAATGACTCGCGTGTGGAACGTGATGGGATCTTTGCCAGAACATATTTAACTACAAGCGGAAGCTACATTTTTAGAATTGCTTCTTTCAAAATCTAAAGAAATTTATGTCAAGGAATATTCGTTATTCAAAGTTTGGAGGGTAGAAAATGTAGTACAAACAAACTCGGAAGAAGTTTTTTGGTATCTCTTAAAGTTTCTTATCAAATTTTTGTTAATGTAATAGATAAATATATAAATAAATATATTGATAAATTGCAACCTGTGGTAGGTACGTTATTCAGTCACGAAAATAAAAGTCTTCGACTATGTAGGCACAGTAGGTATTCAATGCTCAACGTTGAGCGTCTACGAAAATGAAGATATTAGATATCACAAGTTGAGTGTTTTATAAAACTGCACGTAAGACACACAGACATAAAATATCTAAGTTTGTGTCCGCAGAAAATAACATCCAGTCGACTGTTTCTCTACTGCCGATAAGGAAAATGTACCGTTCAACCCGGAAAAGTACCTACAAAAATTTCTGAAACTAGAAAATCCAGACACATATGTAGGTATATCGGTCATTCATTTCGCAGATCAGCAGCTACTTTCTTAGCAGGATTGTGACACAAACATCACTACTTTGAAACATTTGGACGATTGGATATGAAAGGATATGTCGAAGATTCTCTTCAACAGGAACTCAAGATTGGGAAGAAAATTTTAAACTACGACAATGCTGCCGTTATACCTTTTCCACTGCTTGTCCTATGGATACAGTAGCAGATATTGATAGAATGATGTCTTACAAAGGAAATGTGTTAGTTTTGGTAGTGGAAATCAATTTCTCAATGTAACTTTTTATTTTAATCTGTATAAATATACTACACAAAAATTTGATTTTAGTCACTAAACCAACCTGGAAAATACATACAATACAACGTTGGACAAATAAAATTTGATAAGTTCGTAGTTTAATGTTTATATAGGCACGTCACTTTCTGAGATACACAGACAGTAACTGAAGTAACTGAATTTACAAAAATGAAAAAGTTACTTCAGTTTTATACCAGCTTTTCTTGTAATTTTTTGGTATTTCTAATGGTTTATTATTAATCAGTTGTTCTTTTGTGTTTATATCAAAGTTTTGTTTTCCTTGGCAACAAAAACAATAACGTTTGTAGTGTTCAAAATCTGATTATTATTTGTTGAATTTTCTACAATCTATTATTAGTTTGTTTAATGGCAATATGCTCTTCGCATAAAAAAAACATTTTCTGTAAACTACAATCTATACCTATGTTCCAAAAGAAAATTTTAAATGTTAAATCAATACCTACAACAGTTTATCATAACATAACAATAGAGTAACAAATGAACAATAATTAATAATTAATGTTTCTTTTGTTGTTTGTTTTACAAAGTTGACAAATATTGCTGTATAAATATAAACTGTGGCTTTTAAAATAACTTTTAAACAATGAAGAGGAACATCAAGGGAATAATTTCATTTAGTCGCTAAATTGACATGCTCTACTCCAAACGGATGCTAATTTGAATAAGAAATAACAGCTGAATTTTATATATTGTTTACTATATAAAGGGAAAGACATAAACATGGACAATTTGTTTCTAATTTGCTGAAATAACTTCTTCCTCATTCTTGTTTACGATTAAAATACACAATTAATTCCAAAAAGTGTCCTAATGCGTTTGTTTGTCTTATATCCACTGTGCTCAATACAGAATTTTGTATCTATTACGCGAAAATGTTATTTTCGACTGATGTTTTCAGAAAAGTACATAGAAATAAAGGTATGAATATTTTTTTTAGGAAAAAAAAACATTTTGAATCAAGAATTTAGTAAATTTCTCTTCCAACAAGAAAATATAGAAAATATTTAAGGATTTGATTAGGTTAAATTAGATTAATGATGGCCGTACGGAAGAGATTGCTAGTGAAAAAATTTACTTCATTAATACCTAGTATTACTTAAGATGTGTATAAATTATGGAGAAAAACGGGATCGGGAATTTACTTTCCCTTAATTTCTAGTTCCTATCCAGCTACATCAGAATTTCAGCGAGCCTATTCAAAATGTATACTTTAGAGTTCTAAAAAAATGAATTAGGAAATCTCCAGAACAAATGGGAAGTAGTGTACAGTTAAAATTAGAGAAACGATGGAAAGATACCTAGGAAGAAAAAGCGATTAAGGAACAGAAGAAATTAAAGTTGAAGGAGATATCAGCAAAGAAAATAAAAAGCCTGACAATAAAACTGACAATCTAAAGAATAACTACATACTTTTTGGCCTTCCTGAAAACATTTGTACCATTGATAAACTAGTGGCTGTGACATAGTATCGTCGCCAAATGCCTTCTTTAATATTTTGAACTCTTTGAAAATACCCTTTAGTTTTTTATCAAACTTCGTATATGTGTATTTTGTATTTATTTATTTGTCTAATTTTTCAGTGTAATTTTTGGTTAGGCAGAACTACTGTCGTAAAAATAGCTTTAACCAGGATTTATTTCATAATTTTTGTTTTCACATTTTAAAAAAATACCGATAAATAACATAAATCAATCTGCAGGGTGCGGCTTTAGTGCGTCGAAGTACGATATCTCCGATATTATAGAAAATATTAAATAAAGTTATTTACAAAAATTGTACCCAACTTAAAACTGCAGATTTTAAAATTATTATTGCAACAGTTGAATATAGGGCGAGCCAAAACTCGAGCATATAATTTTCTCAATTTTTTTAAATAGATCACCCTGTATTTTATTTTAAAAACTGAAAATACGCTTAATGTTCTTTCATTTTTATAAAGCATTCCTTACAGCTAAAATAATAAATTTCTGAGATATTTTTACTATTTAATAACAAAAAGAGAGTTTTTATTTATTATATTGGAAGCATGCTAAAGATAAGCTCAATCTAAATTTGAAATAATATATAAGGAGTCTCATTTAAAAAATAGTGTGTTTGGTTCATCCCGGTAATACGTACCACCCTGTATATATGAAAATAATTTTAAAATGTTCAGTTTTAAGTTGGCTATAATTTTTGTAAATAATTTTTTTGATATCTTCTATAATAAAGGAGATATCGTACTTCGACGCACTAATGTCACACCCTGTATCATAAAAAGAAGTATATATGTCTCACATATACGTTACTTAAGAAATTATTCAAAAAACTTTCCTTAACTACTGCCAGTATATGAAATTCAAATTGTAACTGCGTACCTACCATTCAATATATGGGATACTTTGTAAATCATTATTTCTGTTATTCAGTTAAAGCTGAAATCTCTGAAATACATAATGGTTATTTTGATAAAATGATAAAAATGAATTTGTAAAAATGAATCAATACAATATTTTTATTTTTTTAATATCCTCGAATATAATAGCGAATCCTATTTGTTTAATTGAAATATTCATGTACTAATCTGTAATCCAAAAGAGTTCTTGCCATTTTTATAGATCTTTTTCTCTCACAGTATTACTCCTGTCGGTTTAATAAAAACACGATTTTACAGACGGTGAGAGATTATTACGTTAAAGGAGAAAAAGAGAAAGCTTTTAAAAGCTTTTAAATTAAAACGTTTTCGACAATGAGGAGCACCTTTTCTCTGTAATGGTAACTTTCTCTCAATCTGAATATTCATTTGAAGATAGTAGATTCTAGGTGGACAAATTAAACATATTTTTTGCCATTTAAACGCTTCAGATAGAGAAAAATGTATGAATCACTTTGAAAAGTATTTAATTTATCCCTCTTTTACTGGAAAAGATTTTTAACTTGTAAAAATGGACAAATATCGCATTATAACACCATTATAAAATAATAGAGTTACGATTGGTTATTAT